GATTAAGACTTGTTTCATGATCCTTGAAAATGGTCCATGTATGCTTGAAAGAATATGCCTCCTGCGGTTGTGGGATAGTGTGATCCATTGGTGTGTGCCAGGTCTCGTTGGTTTAGTGTTGCTCAGGTCTTCTATGATGTTCATGATATTCTGTCATTACTTAACGTGGGAAGTAAGGCTCCAACTATTATTGTTAAATTGTTTATCTTATCAATTCTGTTTTGCTTCATGCATTTCTTGAGTTCTACTGTTAGGTAAATAAAAGTTTATAATTGTTACGTCTTCCTGATGGATGAGCCCTTTCATTAATATAAAATGTCCTTCGTTATCTTGCATAACTTTTTGTGTTAAAATTATTTTGTCTTATATTTCTATAGCCACTGTATCTGTTTTATGGTTGCTTTTGCCATTATTTTTATTTTTAACTGATTTAACTGATCTTTGAATCTAATGTGTGTCTCCTGTAGACACCATAAAATTGTATCTTGATTTTTCTTTTTATTAAACTCTGTCTGATACTGTCTGCCTTTTGACTTGCTCGTTTAACCCACTGACACTTAATGAATCAAATGGCTCGGTTCATATCTGCTATTTCATTTTGGTTTACTCTGTCTGATGTTGTTTGTATTTAAAGTTTTTTGTCTTGTTGCTTTGTTTCTTTTACTGCCTATTTTATATTAAGTGATGCTTTCTAGTGACCATTTCAACCCAATTATTTTAAACTATATTTTAAATGTTATTTTCTTAGTGGTTGTGTTGAAGCTTACAAAATATATCTTAACTGATTAGAATCTATTCCAAAGCTATAGCTTTTTTTCAGTTATTGCTTTTTAATAACAACAGCCATCATTGCATATGTACAATGCTTTGCAGTTTTTAAATTACTTTTGTTTCCATTATGCTGTATTATCCTTACACTAGCAACATCAGGTCAAGAGGGCATGCATTTCAATTTCAATTTTATAGAAGAGGTAGCAGAAATTGGTAAGGTAAAGTGACTTGCACAAGCCATACAGCAAGATGTTGGCAGAATCAAAACTACAACTCAGGTTTCATTCATTCACTCAAATGCTTGTTCTGTCATACACACTTCTTGAAAACTTACTACTAAAATTAGCCATGGATGATTCATGGCAATGTTCACTTTCCATTAGTATTGAACAGTTACTTTGTATCAGTCCTGAGACAGGTGATATCATTTCTGCCTTTGGAGAATCACATTTCAGGAGAGAAGACACAAATTATTAGTGGGTGTTGATATTATAATAAGAATTTTAAGACGTGCTTTAGAAGTACAGAGTAGGGGGAAAGTAAGTATGTATGGGAGATTCATAGATGGTTTCAAAGAGGAGATGGCATTTGAATTGGGTTTCAAAAGATAAATAGGGGTGCCAGGAAGAGGAAAGAAAGGGAATATGACCCGAGTGGACATTGTATATTTGGGAAAGTAAGAGTGGCACCGGAAAGAGGTTCAGAAAGAGACGGGGATTGAAGATGAAGTTAGGGAAAAGACGGGTTCATGTGGGATTGTGGAGTGCCTTGAAGGTCATAGTTGTTTGGACTTTATTGCTATAGACAGTGGGAGAACTAAGAAATTCTGGAGGCTTGTCTCCTTTATAATGAACATTCTGATGGCAAATTTATGGAAGAACTTTTGTGTTATTTAGTGCCACAGAATCAGTTCTAACTCATGGTGACCCTTTATGTACCACAGAACAAACACTGTCCAGTCCTGAACCAGCTTCACAATCATTGCTATGCGGGAGCCCATGAGTGTAGCCATTGTGTCACACCATCTCTCGGAGGATCTTTCTCTTTTCCTCTGACCTACTTTACTAAGCATGATGTCCTTCTCCAAGACTGGTCCCTTCTAATAACATAACCAAAGTATGTGAAACAAAGTCTTACCCTCCTCACTTCTCAAGAGCATTCTGGCTGCAAGAGGCTAAGTGAGGATGTGATTCTAGTAGTGCAAGTTACAGGATGTGACGGCCTGAGAAACTGTAGAATCAGCCTTAGTGAAAGGAAGTAATGCAACATCTCAGAACCTGAGTAGATTTGACTTATAATCCAACTTTACTTTCTTCTCCAGACTGACTTCCTCCCATTTGATCCGTTCCTTTTGGCTCCCCAGATTGGCATAAAACCTAATCTGGCCTTGGTCTAGGTGATGTGTAGATGAAGCCTTAGCCCCGGAGTGGGCTTCAACCTAAGTCCCCTTTGAACAATGCACCTGAGAGGGGTGCTTTCTATTCACCCAATTTGGTACCAATTAAAGATCAAACATCTTCACCAGACCTCAGAGCTACAATACAACGAAGACTTTCTAATCTCATTTCCCACCGTTCCTACCTTTTAGTCTCATTTTCGCTGTGCTCCTATTCTCCAACTACATTGAACTAGTTAGTCTTCCTAAATTTCACTTTTTTCTAACTCTGTCTTCATTTACCCTGTTCTGTATGGGTGTGATCATAGATGGTTTATGCACATATCCCACCTGCTTTTTCAGATTCTTCTGATTCCCTAAGTGTCAGAGGAAAACAGCATAAATCCTAGAGCAGGAAGGCCTGCGTTTGAATCCTGGCTCTGCCACTTACTTTCTTCACTTATTCTCCCTGAGCATGTTTCCTAATATAAAGTGAAAAGGACATATATTTTAGTCAGTAAGTATTAAGTAGTATCATTCAAGTTAAATAATTCCAAAAACCATAAAGCAATAACTAAATAATAGCTACAACAGTAAGTCACAACATCGTATATTTAACTTCCATTCTTAGGACACGGTGCCTTTTATTGTTCATGTTTGTAGATGTTTTATCTTCCCAAGTAATCAGCATACCCCGTGAGAAGGATGGTATATCTTCTAAAGTAAATAGCATTAAGCCTTGTCCATGGAAGTTGCTGATAAACATTTACTGAAAGGGTAAATTAATTGATAGTGATAGCTGTAGTGAGCATTTGTTTGTTTGGTGTTTTGGTTGCCCAGCAATGGAAACTCTTCTTTTCTGTGAGTCTTAATGGAAGATACTTGTCACATCCCACAAGGGTAGCCAAAGGTACCCAAAGCTTCCTTTTTTCCACCTTTCGGCACAGGCAAAAAGGGAACATGATTTCAGCTTGCTTATTTGGACATTCCTACCCAGGGCTTGAACAAATGATGTGAAGATACAGAGGACAAGGTGGAATTTATTTAAGATAGAAGCAAATAGGTTACCCAGGAAAGGTGTTATTTAAGAAGAAAAAGTGAAGAAGAAGGAAAAAAAGAATTCTAAGGAAGTCAACATTTCTAGGGTGGGTTAAATAAAATGACATAGTCAAAAGAATTAAAAAATAATGGACAGAGCAGTTAACATTTTTAGAAGAACTGTATTTCAAAAGTTTAGGTCTTGTTTTTTTAAAAACCACAGATGAGGGTTTGGACAGGAGAGCTCTCTTGGAGCAGTTTATAGAAAAGCCAGACTGTGGTGGGTTGAAGGGTTGAGTAGGAGATGAGGAAGTAAAGGCAAAATGTTAAAAAAAAAAAAAGCAAAAGGTATAGGCTAGTTCCCCATAAGCTTTTACAAAGTAATGACAATAATAATGCTTTATACATGAGTAAGGAATTTATTAAATATTATCATAAGTTAATTGACTAATAATGCCTCGTTCCCATATAACTTGGATTTTACTTTGCCACCACTTCTCTGCTTATGCCTATGATATCAGTGTCCTTTCCCAAGTGTGACAACATCCGGCAGGATTTATGTTGCTGGGTTTTTTGGGTGGTGGTGATTATGGATAGTTAGTTTTATTCAGTAGTGTTTTGAATGCCTCAGGTGATTCTGGAGGCTGAGCCATCCACATTGTGCCCCAGCTTCATTATGTGTTTTCCACGGAGAGATAAGCATTCACTTCTCAAACCAATTTGGCAAAGTATGCAAGTTCTCAGGCTCTTAGCAAACTAAACATTCTGCCCAGGTAGTCTCCCCTGACATCCAATCTCTTGGTAGGTTGAGCTGAGAGAAGAAAGGTGTTCTACTCGAAACTGTCTTGGATAGTGTAGCCGGGGAGGCTGGCTTTGCAATGAGCTGAGACTGTCGTAGGCCAGCCCCCATCAAGCCAACCCTTTCTTTGGCGTGAGGGGAGCTGGAGAGTAATTAACACCGCCGTCCACCTGTGCACAGGAAGATGCCCACAGCCACACCGGTGATGATGAAGCTGCCCACCAAGACGCCCAGGACCAGCGAGGTGTAGGAACGGCCTGTCTGGCTCCCTGCAGAATATGCTGAGAATTAGCTTAAAGAAATATGCTCCCAAAGAGTCCCTAGTTTGAATCAAACTCCCAGGGAATCTGCCCATTTCACCACCTGTCTTAACTGCTTTGTCCCAGACTCTCAGCCCTGAGCCTTCTAGTGCTCAAGGTATTCATCCGTTTGATAAATCCAGGTTACGGAATGGCACTGATGAACCACATAACTATCTTCTGGTTCTTTAATACTTTTTCCCTTACTATTAGAGTTTTTATTTGTTTTACCTCATTAAGTATGTTAGGTTTGCATATGTTCATTTGTATATTTAAGATCATTTGGTACATGAAAGTCAGAAACAGTATCAGGGGTAATAATTCCCTGAGGGTACGGGAAGAGAGGTGAGGGAAGGGGGAGCTTATAGCATTGATGATTGTATAACTCCACTCGATGGGATTGAATGATAGAATTGTATGTGAATGGATATATTGGATTGTGTATGATATGGCAAAAAAGAAGAAGAAGCGTTCTTAGGGGGTATGGTGGGGGAGGGAGGGGCTAAAGAGGAGCTGATACCAAGGCATTCAAGAAAAAAGAAAATGTTTTGAAACTGATTGTGGTAGCAATTGTACAATACTGCTTGATGTGACTGAACTATGGAATGTTATGATATTTGTAAGAGCTCCAATAAGATTATTAAAAAAAAAGTATTCATCCCTTTGCCTAGAATCTACCACCTCCCAAAACACAGCCCATAACCACTAGTCCCGCCATACCTTTTAAGTTCTTCGTGGTATGATCTTGCACATACTGCACACAGGTGCCCTGCAGGAACTCCCGCAGTTCATACCGAGTTCGATTGTGGGTGTTGAGCTCCTTGAGGACGTAGGAGGCCACTTTGGAGGGTGTGTCGGAAAGTCCCACCCACGAGGCTGTCTCTGGCTGGAAATTCGCAAAGGCACTCCCATTCACAGCCACCTCGAAGAAGATGTGGGCTTTGGAACCCTGGGGAGGCAGGTCACAGCCCAGGAAGCAGCGGATAATCAGAGGAACTGTGGGTAGGAAGTTCAGGGTCAGGGCGTCAGGGCCAGGTGAGGGTGCCAGGCATGGGGTATAACCTCAATGGGGAAGAGCACATGGTAGGGGGTGAAGGTTGGGGTAAGAGTCAGTGATTGTGAGGAGTGGAGGGTCTGGATTTGGGAATTGTGGGGAGAAGCATTCGAGCGATCTGGGAAGACAAGAGGGAAGTTGTAAGGAGAGGTTATCTCCTGTAAAGACTTACAGCCCCGGAAACCATATATATATATAATGTCTCTATGCGTAGGAACATATATATATATAATGTCTCTATGCGTAGGAACCGACTTGATGGCAGGTTTTTTAGGAGCTCTAAAGAACAAGAGAGACTATGAGATAAAGGAGTTTCAGGTTATCAACGGGGGAGGAGAGATGAAATTGGGGTCTTTAAGGAAAAGGAGTGAGGGGTTGTGTGAGAAAGCCTGGGGAGCTACAGCGATGCCGTCAAGCTTCTGTGAAGAGAAGAAGGTGGAGGATCGAAGGTAAAATACTGGGGGAGCCGTGGGGGAAGGCAGGGGTCTGCGAGGGGAAGGGGATAAAGGACTGAAAGTGAGGGATGTGGAATTTTCGGAAACCAGTTTATGTGAGGGCACAGAACCTGACTAACGATGGTCTCCCAAGCCAGAGGCTGGCTAGGAAAATGTCCGCAGGAAGAGGGCTTGAGGGAGGGCCTCGTCGGGGAGGAAGCCCTGCTTGGGCGGCTGCTTCACTCCAGCTTGGCGCTCTCCTCCGCAAGGGCAAGTACGCAAGAGCCCAGGCACCATTGAACGCCTCAGGGCAGCTCCGTCCCCGGTGGCCACGCCCACGCGGAAAAGCCCTCCCACAGGACCCTGCCCTGGCAAGTCCCACCCACAGGGCGTGATTGGTCCTGGCCAGCCACGCCCAGTACCCGCCCAGGCTCCGCCCCCGGCGCGTGTGCACTCACAGGTCACGCCCCTCTCCAAGTTCACCAGCTGCACGAGGCCGGTGAATTCGCTCAGGTAAGTGCGCAGGTTCTTCTCGGTGCGTGCCCAGCTCTCTGGCTCCTCCAAGGGCTGCAGCTGGAGGATCGTGATGTTGGATTGTGGGCCTTCCAACGTGTGCGTCAGCTGCCCGCCCAGGGACGCATTGCCCCGGTGCCACACTTGAAAGGGGTCACGGAAGTAGGCAAACTGGAGCATGTGGAGACTTCGTGAGCCTGAGGGCAGAAGGCAGCGCGTGTTGGGGCCTCAGCCGGCATAGGAGTGGGTGGCACGCCTCCGGGGATAATAATCCCCTGCCCAGACGCCGGCCACGCACTTCCTTGGCCCACCACTGCCCCCATCTGATGCTCACAACAGTAATCCTCCCAAGGGGGCAGGGCAAGGGTTATTATCCTCAGTGAACAGATGAGGCCCGTAGAATAGAAGTCGCTTGCCCTGAGGTAACCCTGCCAGTGAGTGAGTCAGGCATTTATTGCCATACCACCCTCATTTCTGGTAGGTCAACAAATCCTGACCTACAAAAATAAAATTCCCATTTCGTCTCCTTTTTTTCTGACGCCCTTGCCACTGCACTCTTAGGGACCCATCGATTCCCTTCTGAACTGAGCAATGAACTTTTTCTGTCCCATCACTGCCATGTTTCAACCCTTCTAATCCAACCTCCAAGTGACTCAGTCTCCAGCTTAAAGTCCTGCAGTGTCCCTGCTTCCATCAATAATGATTAAAATAGCCAACAGCTATCACATGCTTATGATCTAGACACTGTTGAACACACTACACATATTATTATTTGTGCCTTCCAATAATTTAATGCAATGGCTACTGTTATTAACCCCACTCTATATGGGAAATTGAAGCTCAAATGCTAACTATCAGAGCCAGAGTTAACACCGGCAGCCTGAATCCCAGTACTCTTAGCCACTCTGCCTCAGCACTCTCCAACTCATTGCCGTTGAGTTGATTCTGACTCACACGACCCCACAGGACAGGAGAACTGGTCCATAGGGTTTTTTCCAAGGCTGTCAATCTCTAGAAAGCAGATCGCCTCTTCTTTTTGTCTTTGGAGCAGGTTGTGGGCTTGAACTGCTAAGCAGCGCAACGCTTAACTCACGGGCACTACCAGGGCTCCTCTGCCTAACTGCTATGCAATCGAATATCTATCCCCAGGATCAAATCCAAAGTCTTCAGCCGGGCATTCAAGGCTACTGCTAAATAGTGCCCAGTGGCCTTTTCCAATCTCTTCCTTGTGCTTAGATACCACACGACTCCACGTTTCTCATGCTGCCTCTTGGGTGACATGTGAATTGCGTGTCAGCGTTGCTCTCACTGCCTGCCTTTTCCTGCCCATCAGATGTCTTAGTCATACTTCAGGACCCAGCTCGGTTTGCATCTGTCTCCTGGGAGAAACTTTCCTAATGGCCCTCTTAGTTTGCCCTCCCAGACACTGTGGGTCTGTTTTAGGGATGCGTGACTCCTCTACGCCCACGTCTCTCACCCCCACACGCAGCCTACCCTGGGCTCCCCCTGATTCAGGAACCACATCTGCTTATCTCTGCCTCCTGCACTAGCCAGGGCCTGACCATGGAGTTTGTTCCCGGAGAATGTTGGAGGAGCGGATGCGTCTGGGTTGCAAGTCTGCGTGAGCATGTGGCTCGTCTATGTTCGCATTTGAGAAGTTGCGCTCTGAGCCGGCAGGTGTGTAGGTGTGTGTCTGTAGGGGGGACCCTCGGCAAGGTTCTTCACTGCTCTGGGACCCAATCGCTTCCTCTGTAAAATGTAGATAATAAAATGACCTACCTAGTGGGGGCTTTGCAGGGATCAACTGAGTCAATATGTGTATTTGCCGTAGGGAGCATGCACTGAATCTTGGTTATTGTTTGCTCTATCTCTGAGGGGGAAACTGAAGCTATAGGGACTCTGCGAGAGGAGAAAGGAGATTTCTGTGCGACAGCAACGTGGGGCAGTGACTCGCTTCCCTACTCAAAGAAGTCACTCCTGGCAGCCTGATCACCCATGAGTTCTTCCATCGCCTGCAGTCCTTTGTTCCCCAAGTTTCACCTCCCCAGAGGCACCCAGGCTCTCTTCATTGTCCCTTAGGGCTCCTCTACGACTTCACCTCTATCAGCTCATCTTTCCCATGAGTCATCCATCTGTTCTCCCCCTGTCTCCCCATCCCCTCCATCCCTCTTCTCATCTCTGAGTCTCCATCTCTCTTCCTTAAACTCACCCCTATCCACCACCACCCTCACCTTTCCCTTGTCAGACGTCATCCCATCTCTCCCTTCTCCTCCAGCCTGATTCCCTCACCTTGTCTACCCATTCCTTTCCCACTTTCCCACTCGTCCTGTTTGAGCCTCCTCATCCGTGTCGCCTTCTCCAGGAACTGCACTATATCTCCTCACGTTAACTCTGACACACACCAGACTCTGGGAGCCTGCCTGCCCCATAGAGAAAGAAACCCAGCTGGCTGCAGACACAAACACTGCTGAGATGCCCCTGAGCCATTCCCAGGCAGGAATCCCCACTCACCATCTGAGGCTTCCAGGCTACAAAGGGACCAGCGGGGCAGGAGCAACAGAGACAGCAGTGGCAGCAATGTTGTCAACATCCTGGAGCTGAAGTTCCTGACCCAACTTGGATTCCCGGCTCCGGCTCGGCTCTGCAGACTGGGGGCTTCTGCTAGCTGCAGCCCAGGGGATAGAGGAGTGAAGGCTGTGTGGAAGGGGCGGAGGCAGATTGCAGGGTGCTGGAAGGAGGCCAAGGCAGTGGAGGAAGAAGAGGGCGTCAGGCTCTTAAAATGTTATTCCTACTCTGTCTCATTTCCTACTACAGAGCCGCCAGCCTCCCTCTGCCCTCCCCTTGCCCCGCCCTGCCGAGAGTCCTCCTGCTCAGACCTGCCTTTTACCTCCTCCCAGGGCAGCCAGCCCCTAAGAATCTGGAGCGGAAAAGGCGGAGAGAGAAGGGGGATTGGGGGTGGGGGTGTGGGGTGTGTGTGTAAACTTGGGAAGAAGTCCTGCCCTCGTTGACTCAGGGGGTAGGGCGTCTGCTTTCAACTTGGACCCTAGGGCGTCCAGATCAGCAGGTTAAGGATGGGGAAACTGGGGTCTGCAGAGGTGCAGGAACTTGCCCAAAGTTTACACATCCCAATGGTGACTGATCCAGGATTAGAACGGCAATTACACAACCAGGGATGGTTGCTCTCAAAAGTTGTCATGAAATGAGTACAAAGCTGCTCACGTCAGTATTTCTTATGATAGGGGAGAGTGTGGACAATCTATATAAATGTCAATAGAGAGTGGGTTACATAAGCCATGCTTTTCACACTGTAGTCACAGTCTAGTGGCTACGGAAATCAATTTAGCAGACTACAATCCCTTTTTTCCCTTTTCCCTTTCTTTTTAATGAAATCAAACAGCATGGAAAATTTTAGTGCCTCATCCTTAGTAGGCTAAGTATTATTTTGAAACTTCCTGCCCTTGAACAGTTGTGTGTATAGGTTTTGACTTTCTTTCTGGATCACCCGGTAAGATGGGTTTCTTCCTCCAGGAAGCATGCAGACAAGTTTGGAACCTATTCCCAAAACCATGATAAATCCACACCATGCAA